ATTCCTGCTACGTCTACAGATACTAGCAAACTATGGGAGAGCCTCAATTATCTTAAAATGTCTCTACTGTAAGCTAGACTTGTATCTTCATTTGACTCAAAAGAGAAGTAGAAAAGTGTCATTTAGTCTTAATCTCATCACCTCAAGCAGACTCTGTTCTTTTTTATTTAACCACGAATAATGTCGTGATCAGTTGATCGCTATTTGTCTTTTATCTATTTGCCTGCCATTTCGTGTCCTCATTGGCCACCACTTGTTCTTTGCACCTTTTAGTCCTTTCCGGAGCACGTACATTAAATAGAGAGAACGCAGTAAGTGTGTCTTAACAGAATATTAGAAAACAACTTTAACAAATACAATTCCTTATTTCAAATTTCATTACTGAAATATATTCATGTGGGAATACATACAAACAGGTATAGGAGAACGGGAATATAATAAGTCAAAATGTTTTTTTCATTTTAAACATTGAAACGCATTCGACAAAAACATTCACAAGTTGACAGAACTGTTCTAAACGGGACGTTTACACCTGTCCAGCAGGCTCTATGTGTAGAGGGCATTGATTCACTTGTACCTGGTGCGTGTTCCAATCAGACCATCCCTTCTTAATCCATCGGAAATTCCCTATCCATAATTAATTCCAGTGTAATAGCTACATGTATTTTGTCCAAGTTATATGAAACGTTAGGGAAGATAATGCGCGGCACCAGACTATAATTCCCTATCTAATGTCTCTTTTCTCGTGAATTTTGATGTCTTTAATTCGTTCTCGCTCCTACTTACTCACCAGAAATTAGTCCTATCTGCATCTGACATTTTCAATTCCTAGAGATAAAATAGCTATAGCTGGTTATATGTTGTGCTTCGTAACGAACTAAATCAAACTAGCTGTTTTGTATTTTACCTGGTTGGAAATGTAATTTTAAGTTAAATTGATTTTTTAACCAAGCACCATCTGCTCGGATTTCAATGTACACACCAGGAAAGTAACGTTAGCTTCACAACTTTCTGTACTGTTTGTTAACATAGCATTACTATGTGTCTGTGTTGTTTTAGACATTGGTTACAAATATATGATGCATTCGGATATCAACATTTCTTTCAATTTATGCCACACACTCATTAACACAACTTATATTAGTGGTATAATATCTAACAAATCAAAACATAGGAGTTGAGTATATATCATCTGTTGTGATCAATCAATTTTATATCAAGTTTATATTTACAAACGCAATCCCTAAAATCAACATATTCTTACATAACAACAAAACATCAACAACAACAACCAGAACTCATATGAAGTATCATGGTGTACAAGCATCAGCTATCAGTATCAGCTCCTTATCGTTATTGATGATAGTATGTGCTGTATATGTATCTGCATAACGTTAACGCGTTACGATTCGCTATATTGATAAATGAATACATGAATATATAAAATAAAATAATACAAAACGACCCGTGTGGAACATCAATTATAAGGAAGTAGTCCTAGAAGTGGTAACACAGCAGAAAATACATTTTTATCAACGTTTAAGAAGAAATCTGCGATTTAATCGTGTATGTGCAAACGACATACGACAGTGGATAGCTGACTCGCTTTGCACCAAGGCGGCCAGGGTCCCATTTCCCGATTGGACGTGACTAGGTATGGGACCAATTCGGGTTTCTCTTGTTGTTCCTTTATCCTACCACATTAAGGCCTTCTGCGCTCTTCTTTCATGACCGGCAAGAGTGATTAAGAAGTTGCTAGAAATTGCTTCATAATGGTTATAAAATTGATCAAATTTAATTTTCAATTTAAAACAACATTATAAGGAATATGTGTTTCTAGGTTATTACACCAAACTCTTTTCTAATAAATGGATTGTAGTTTTTAGATGAATGAAGTCGGAGAAAACGTTCACGTGAGATCGCAGTTCATGTGATCCGAATAAATAGTGTTATACAGACCAACGCCAACTGTCAGAACACCGTCCAACCAGCGTGATTGTCTAAGATAAGGAGAATCTGCCTTACTGAAGGTAGACGCGACATCTTTGTTGAATATTAACATTTATGTTTATTGATGATATGTATGGTTTGTCCCAATGACACGGAGTCTATAAGATAAATGTACACTGACCTCGCTTAAAGATATAAATAAAAAATATCGCCAATGGATTGAGAATTGCTCCGTGTGAATACTGTGCTTGGACTTTAGAACTGGTGACCCCTGTATCAATTATTGTGAAAAAATAGTCAAAACAAAAACTGTTTTTCAATTCAAAAGAACGCCTCAAGATAAGCTTTGCTCAAATAAATGGAGCATGCTGGTCAACATACCTCGGTCAATGGGTCACCATGCCAGCAGATAGTTTGATAAACTTGTCTCCCTTCAAAACCAGACCAGTAGTCTTTATTATAATGATATCTAGGAAATTAACAGTCTTGTCCATTTGACACTTGTATTATTTATCCCTTGTTGTAGTGTTTCTCGATGGTATATGGACAATGAAGTACCAAGTGTTTCGTTCGATGAAAGAAAGGACATTAAAATTAATTGCTCCATTCAAGGGTTATTTTTCACATATGTCATTACATTTATATGAACGATTTGACAAAATATCTGATATTTTTGCACAACATTTTTCTATCAGTAACACGTATGCTGTGTGTGGAACAGATCTACTTAAATGTTATATGTTCTCAACACGCGGGTTGATACGATGCTCAGCAATGTCTAAAAGTAAACATAAAATACATACATGACGGCTGATGAAGGTAGCAAACTATCATATAAAATTCCTGTGTCGTAATACGCGGATGTCATTATCCTGTATTATTTACTAATTGCGGTGTGCAGATCTTGTGTGCTTCTGTATTTTTGTTTTGCACTGCAACTAAGATAAATGTGCTTCTCACTTTAAGATATTTTTCTATATCAAACTTGGCACTCGTCATCAGTCCCTTTACAACAATGTTACTAATGTTTTGTTTGTTAATCTTATAAATAGATACGATCATATACGCATAAACCTCTTGCCATTATATCATACTAAGTTAATAGCACAGATATAAGTAATGCCCAACTATATAAAAGTATCATTATGATCGGTTTCTCTTAGGATTAAACATGTTTCTATGACGTTTTTTTTTGCAGTTGATAATATATACAAACACTCTTTTTTCATAATTATGCTCAAATAAATGGGACCACAATTAATATATCTTTACTTTTATATATTACTTCACAACATATATGTTTGTCCATCATCGCTGAATGTTTATTACTTAAAATATGTGTTCCCAAAATTGCTTGGAACTCGAAAGTATTATTTTCATGTTTTCTTGTCTTAATAAATTGTAAATGTTTAAAATCATACGAATATTTAAAGTAGTCTTGTTGGATTTTGATAGGCTTAAAATTCTATTCCAACTGAATGTACGGTTACTAAGGCTTCACAATTTATTCATTTTCATTTCAATTTTCAGGACGAATTTACTTTCAAACAAAAGGATCCAATGATTTACCTGGGCTTAGTTTGTACATTTAATGGACACATCACAAACAGAACTTACATTATCACCATATCAAAAGTGTAACAGATGATATTTTTTGACTCAATATTATATTTACTTCTTACTATGGGAAAAGGTTATGTCAAAATATTCCTCCTTTTTATTATTCTAGCAATTAACATTTCATCTCATACTGTTCTTGTAATCTTCAGAATCTCCTCAATATAAAAAATAACCATCTTAAAAATAGTGATTTGTTTGCAAATTCTGTTCAACAACACAATACATCTTTAGCTGGATCTGAAGAAACTGAACTGAACTGAACTGAACTAAATGATAAATAATAATTATAAAACAATGCCCCCCTCACCGATTGCTATGATGTTTGTTTCAAGGAGCGCTGCTAAATGAGCGCGCGCCAGAGATATTTAAGTTGCCTGAGGAAAATCAGGCAAGACAAATATCTCTGTAAAGAACATTAAGACATTTGCGGAAAATACTATAATACCCGACTAACAGGAAACTAGATTGACCAATAGAATTAAATGATGACGAAACTTTCTTTGAATTTTGTTTGGGTGCGATTACCTGTTTATTTGTGTGCTTAATATTTAACAAGAAAGAGTAATGTTATTTGATTAATGCTACGCACGACCACTTTTTGTTAATGATATGCATCCAACGCAAAATAACCTTTTTTAAATCAAATTACTTTAGCCGTCTAAATAAACCTATTTTTCCTCATATAAACACTAATACATTATATTTATTTGACACATTTTTCTTAATTACCAAACTACAATATCCATGTAATGACAGTATCTATATGTTGAATTCAATGTAACAGAAATAAATTAGATATTCAATTCCATTCCAAACAAAAAGAATGGAATTCACTTCAAATGAAATCATATATGATACTTTGATACACTATGTTGGTACAGGTGAGAGTAGAGTTGTGATTATAGCTCAGCAACACGACCAAGATATGATATTTCACATAACAACATTATCATGTAGAAAATATGTGTACATCAGTCATATTTCGATTTAAAGGATTAAAAAAATAAACATTTTTACATAATATGAGAAGATTATACAGACTTAACTATACATTCGTTTAATGAATGTATACCTGTTAATAACGAGTATCGTTGATTTGACACTTCATTTTTGCTATAAAGCGAATAGCCCTAGCGTTGATATAGTTTATGAACGTCGTTTTACGATAGCCTTTTGGTAGTTCACTTTGATTACACTATTTGATGGACTGATACCTTGTCTGCTGAATGCTTTACACAACGGTGAAATTGTGTCATTATTTAAATCCTTTAAAGCTACCATAAGTCCACAACACACGGCAAGTAATCAATACCTGTACAATTCTGTATAGCATTCAAATTTTTATTTAAATTAATCGGGTATTGTAGTTGTTTGAATGGATTGCGGCGCGATTGGCCACCGTCTATATTCATCAGCTGTGTATACCTCGTGTCACTCGAATGCGCCGTGTTAAGTAAGGAAAGGTGTCCCAGGTGTATGGGGGTAAAGGATAGCACCAGGTATACTATACACAGGTGTTCATTGTTGATGAGTCTATTACGACATTACCTTGATATCATACTTACCTGTAATTTACCTGGGCTACAACTCATCACGAGACATAGTGAGGTGAACTTCAAGTTGTTGTGTGACTGACCACCAAATGACCATGAACAACAAAACACCCCCCGTATCAAGTGAGTGCCATTTTCTGTTGTTGGAGATCAAACACTTCCCTTTGACATTAATGTGTTGCGTAACAATTCTTTGATATGCTTTGATTTTTCATTATTTCATTAGTTTATATCTATTTTAAAATGGCAAATTAACAATTAATTGTAAAAATCTATCTGACCAATATGTGTTTCGATTTTCAATCAGTGATATTTGATGGGTTTTTTAATCTTTGATTTGATAAACACATAAGCTAATTAGTTACAGAATAATTTGATTTTGATATTCTGAAATTTAGACACGACTGTTTGTTAATTGCTATTTTCATACATTTGATGATTGATTGTTTTCCGTTATAAGTTTAGTACGATAGTAATAATGATATCTTTAACTTGGTATATCATAACTGTTTCCAAATCTTCGTCAAATTGAATTTAATTTCATCTCTGTTTATTTTACTCAATTTGATTACATGTATTGTCTATATTTTTCTCTATTATTTGTCTTGATTTACAATCCACGCATATCCGTCAACTTAAACATTCTTTCGGTCAAAATGTTTACATTGAACGTGAAATAAAAATGTTAGACTGTTAATTATATTAGTGGTGTTTGAATGTTCTTTTTTCTCTGAGAATAGGGCAAATTTTACGGATAACGGAATGCTGTGTTATTTTATTAATATATTTAGCATACACTTTTTCAAGTCAAATTGACACATTTATTTAAAAATCTTTAGTCGTTAGTGCTCTCTATCAATTTTAATTTCCAAAATACCTCTCATATTGATAAATAATTTTAACTTTTATTTTGATAAGATTTCTACTGCTGCAGTTAATGGTCTTGTGGAATAATCCTTTATCATATGATCCAATCAATTTTCAATGCATATACCTCCGTATAACAACGTGTGTTAATTTAATGTCATGCTTTTGACTAAAACAAAATTGACATTTATATTTTCTATATAACAATCCGAATCAGATATATTTAAAAGAGCATAATCTCCATCACTTGACAGTTTTACAAGCCACCAAATTAATTATATCATAGTTCAAAGTTGGTGCGATGTGTCAAACAAACTATTAGTAATAAACTACATATCATTTCCGAACTTGAGTAGATATTTGATACATATGTATAAACCTTTTTAGCAATAACTATGCTTGTTATATTGTTTTTATTTGTTTTATACAAACGCTACGTTTTAAATTTGAATATATATTAAATATATAACACCAATTTCCCGAAATGTTAATCAAGAATTGTTGATTATTAGAGATTTTATTTGTTGGATAGGTAATATTCTTGCTTCTCATTAGGAATTTTCCGTCTGTTAGCTTTGATGCGATCTATACTAACAGTTGTCGTTTAAGAATTATGTTATTTTGACCAAATATATAACTAAGTTATACCAATCACTACATTCATTCTAAAATCTGTCTCCCCGTTTCCTTGTTATTTGTTTTACATCAGCTAGCTAAATAACAGCTTAAGGGTGTGTTAAATACAGTATTAAGAGTATCAGACAATGTTAAAGGTGGGCTGAAGTGGTTTTTGTCGATGATATTGAATCCCTCCTTGGTTATAACACACTGAATGCCGTAATATGGTATTGACATTGTTTGTTTAAAAGTTGATAAATGTTAAGTTTTGCCACCGAATGGGTGGGCAATGTGATGTGCTGTCAATATAAAAGCGACTACGGGTATTATCAGCGATACTAAGTCACCCTTCGCCATGACACACGACTCGTAAACTGTAGCCATTCTTTAATAACACACCGTGAACTGTGGAGAAACTTATTTGGCGTCTTAATAAATTTTGAAATACAAACTTACCACATGCACATTTTGATGATAAATCCTACTTATCCTGACGCATGAGCCCATAGTCATTGCAAATCTAGGAGTTATTTTATCCTTAATCAAAATAATTCGAGTGGAATCTTGCTATAAATTGTTGATTTAAGAGTATCTAAGAAGAATACCGCTGTCGCGTAAAGTCAAATTTAAGAGTTATCATCAAACGGTTTTACCTATGGAAGGAAAACAGCGTCAAAATATTTGTTAGTATGAAAATGTTTAGGAGTTTAAATTTGTGTCTTTTTTTCTAGAAATAACTTTTGATATATATTCATGGCAAAGTTACATAAGTATATAATCGTTATACTTTTAGCACAAAAGAAACATTCCGAGTCAATTATAAAATTAAGAATATCAAAATATATTGTTAATCTAACAAGACTATCAACATTCAAAGAGAAATGGTAGAAGTCTGTTCTTTTTTTGCCATAAATATGAGCGTATTTAGTTAAATTGTCACTGCTTCGTAATACAGTAAACATTGCAAGAATCACACTTTTTATTATGTGTGCATAACCATTAGATAGTAGATAGATTATATCGCGTAAAACGACTACAATAGTTTTCTTTTTCATATTCTTGCGCCCCATGCTATGATAACCAGTCTTCAGATAAGCTTACTAATGCTGTATTTTATTATTGTTAGTTTCCTGCTTATAACGAATTTCAGTAAACAAAAACAAATTTGCTCGTGAGCTAGAGTATGCCGAAGTAATTCTGAGAAATATATATCAAATTATGACAAGTACAATTACTATTAATTAAAGTTAACCTCATGTTACACCGAGAAACTAACTGTATATTCGGCCAGGTTGCCAAGTGTCGATGTGCATATGTAAGTTAATCCGCAAAAATAATTTTTATTAACGCAATCAAAATATCGGTGGACATGGCATATGAATAGGACTCAACTCCTTCCCCAATACAATATACCTAATAAGCTGTAAAAACAATCATATTTGCAGACTTTGAATATTTCTAGTTCATGACAAATTGAAACAACAAAACACACATGTCACCTTTGATAAAGCCACCAGTCGACCTCATATGGCCTTGAGCTCTTCGCCGCTGTTTGTTCCCACGAGTTCATTGGTGCTTATACTGCCACAGAGGCAATGAAACCCTCTGATTGTGTGAGAAAGATGTCAAATGACCAAATAAATATCTGTAAATTAATTTAAGATGTCAAGGGTTTGTCAACTTTCTATATTTAGCGTATGACTGTAAAGAAAGTTTAACTCTTGGCTTTATAAACATACTTAAGTGAATTGGTATATTTAGCTGTTAAATGGACTCGTTACTATTGAGTTATAAAAACAACATTAACGGATAATAAGTAACCTTTTATGCATTATAAGAAAATATAAACAATAGATCAGACGTCGAATGCCAGCTGAACAAAAGAATTGACCAGTTCATTTGAGGTTAGTGGGACATTTTGTCAAAAGTTGTTAAGCAGGAATCAAGCATTTGACCACTTAAATACTTGTGCTCTGGTCATACATATTGTTAGTAATTACCTGATTTCCTGGCTAGCCAAAACCGAAATATATTTAAGTGATTGCTGTCGTTGTCGTCTTAGGTCAGACAGTTATACATTTTTAAACACAAAGTTCAACTTAAGCAGACGTTTTACATGTGCTACACACGCTTACACAATTACTTAAATATTTAATCACATATCGTCTATTTAACACCAACTTCCAACAGGTGATTTTTGACAGACATATGGCTTTTTGCCGACTTCTTGCTTTTCGCTTTAGACTTATTGTGGTTTCAAGTGAGATTAAAGATTAAAATAGTTCAAACTATTTGGACATAGGTTTGAACATTTCTTTTTGGCAATTTAAGTTTAATTCCGTCCTAAACAAAGACGAGAAAAATGACCGCAACTAAATTATGTTGAAAATCTAATATGTAATAATTATTTAAAACTCGTTTCATATCTGTAATGAAATAATATGAAAAACAAAAATGCATATATAGGTTTTAAAACGAAAGCATTGACAGTATATGTATTAAGAATGTGAATAAAACATTTAATCGGTGTTATGCCAATCTGATGTTATTGTAAGCGTTGTCGCGTTTTTACAACTAAACCAATGTCTAGTTAAATAATGGACACTTTTTTTCTTTATAATTATTCATAAATATACCTTTTGGAATCCATTCTAGTTTCAAAACTTATGAAAAATGTATTATGCGTGTGATAAAAGATATGAAGGAATCAATGTCAATCATCCAGTTGTTTACTGTTACATATGATACACATCGCGAATTATAGTTGTGTCCAGAATATATAATTAATCATTTTCACCCATATATTAAATTTTAATTTAACATTGAAAAACTCATAGTTCTTTGCAATAGTTTGAATTTTTTATAACGAATTTCATATAATAATGTATGATCACCCATGCAACAATCAGGAACGTTATGTGAGTGTGTATTTCTATTCATAAAATAACTGTTTAAATCATTTATTCGGATTGTTTTGGATTTTTTTTTGATTTTATACTTTTATTACAACGGTGACTCTTTGACAGTCTTTCAGTGCACAATACAATAATGTTTTCAACATCCAATTTTCAAACAGGAATATAAGTACATGTGAAATATCTCAATTTATTTTTTATTCAATTTTTTTCACATACTTAGAGAATTTCTTTTCCACAAAATCTGCCAGTAAAGAAATATGATTTCGATGTAACATTTTTCGGAAAATCACAGGAAAGCATCACAGGTGTGATCATATTTGAGATTTTTGTTTGATATAGTTTGCCATGTGCTATCCGTCTCAATGCGATTACATTAAAAGGGTATATCTTCCGCATGGTCTTTTGAAATATCATTTGTTTTTTGTATGCAGCATTTGTCATATTAGTTAAGACTACATGTGTAAAATTATTGAATTTGTGTCGTCTGCTAAAGTGATTAAGTGACCTATTATTCTTCAATTAGTAACGTAATACAAAGGCATACTGCGGTCATCTGTTATCCAGCTTGGATCATGTGATGTCGGTTGTATTATACAACCAAGATATTTGTCATTGTATGGTCACACTGTTTCATACTTTGCTTACACGAATGCAGTATTCTCACATTAATTTTAGCCATACCTGTTCTTTTAAATATACCAGTGTGACACACATTGTACCTAGATATGACTATTTAAGAACAATATGTTTTTCCTGTTCTGTATGTCTTTTGTTCCATAAATGAAGATGTTTATATGTTTACCACGTTAGTGTAAGCGACAGTGCAGATACAATTTTTTAAATAAGTATTATATATTATAAAAATATTTGATACATTTGACGCCGTTGCTTGTAATTCGTCGTCATTCGGACCTTGGCAGGACACGAGTAAAACGTTGTATTTTTTGGTAATTTGTGTTCCTATGTAACGTATGAAATCAATTTATTTTAAAGGCCGGATTCTCACAGATGTTCCATGCCGTGTCTGCCAGGATCATTCATCGGGAAAACACTACGGAATATTTGCCTGTGACGGGTAAGTACGTCACATCTGTATACAACATAGTCTATCAAGACATTAAATGAACTTATTTTGGTTTGGATATTATGTTTTAACTTTTACCTTTGTAGTAACAACTAAGTGTATACAGAATATAGTTCTCAGTGCTGTTCTTCCAGGTGATATACCACACCTACAACCGAACTGGTGTGTTGTATCATGCCTTGTCACGGTACAGCTCCTTACATTGCTATATATTTCAATACCCTTTTTATTAATGACATAAGATGTATTGTTGGGCTGTATGGACTTAGCATCACAGATGATTCTGCATTATCAATACCACTTCATTTATAAATCTATTATGTTTTCTCGTTTCAGATGTGCTGGGTTTTTCAAGGTTAGTTTATTTTTTTCTGTCATTTTTATTTAATTATATTTAGGCTCCATGAGGAAACGATCATTTAAATAGTATTTTCACAAACTGACGATATTCAACGAACTCTTACATTCAAATATTAAACTATAAATAACTTTTCCTGGTTAATTCATTAAAGAAAGGTATCCGTGAAACAAAGGATCTGAAAGAACGGGGTAATAACGTAATATATATATATTTCTATTCAATAGAAAAATCAATATTTTGAAGCAATTTATAGAATATTTAAGAATATGTGTCGACTTTTTAATAATTATTTCACTAAATTCTGGACAATTTTATTTTATTGTGATTGCTATTTTGCATATTACAGAGATCGATACGACGAAACAGGCAGTATGTGTGTAAATCTAGATCTCAAAACAATTGTCCGGTAGACAAGACACACAGGAACCAGTGTAGAGCCTGCCGTCTCAACAAGTGCGTCAAAGTCGGCATGAACAAAGACGGTAAGGTTACAAAAATGCTAATCAACCATTGGACATTTTATTTTATTGCTATATATTTACATTTCTGTTTAAAGTTATAGTATTTAATCATAATTGATATTTTTTTTATTTTTAAAGAGTTTTATTCTATACCAATAGTAGCATTGGTAATATGTTAAGTTGTGTTATCTTATACATTTACAAATTAGAACGTTTTTGTATTTGATGTTCATGTGTATATCTATATTGATATGATAGTAAAGAATATATATATATGTTAATCATAACATGTTAATTTGAATACAAGTGATGTACAACAAACGAAGTTAGAACAGATAAAGATGTTTTACGCCTGATAAATACAGCACAGAATACTCCCAGTAAATCTTTCAATAAATTGATCGAACAAAACATCTTTTTTGATGATAACAATGAATAACTTTTGAATATTTGGAAAAATAAAATACCTGCGCCGCATTTACATTGTAAAACTATCTTTCAACAGCCGTTCAACACGAAAGGGGCCCTCGTAGTTCAACACTTCGTCGCCAGGTGGCAATGTATCTGAGGGAATCGTCTGAGTTAAGTTCCATGATGGCGAGCACTCCCCTCCCGCCCCCGTACTTTCCTGGCGGTTACTATCTTAAGCCGGTGTGTGACAGTATATCTATCCCGGTCAGCGCTCATGAACATCCAATACTGTCACATCCAGGGATGATCATCCAACCAACGCCTAGGGTAAGTTTCAATGTCAATTCATTACTGTATTGAATGAATATAAATCATTTTCTACATTGATAAATATGTTTGAACTGTTTTCGCATGTGAAATTCCGTATGGGTTTCTGGTATTCAAAGCGAATGCAAAACACGAACGTCTATCCGTTGTATTTTGACATGATAGATATGCAAGTGTATAAAGTGTTTCTTGGTCAATACTACTTAACAGTAGGAAGTCGCCGTAATTAGAATGTTATCAACTTTCATCTAAGCTTTACAATTTAACACGCCAAAATAAAATAGATATAATAATTATATATTCTATTGGTTCTCTATGACAGTATCCACAAGAACTGTTGCCAGGTTATCTTAACAACCCGGAAACGATATGTGAAGTGGCCGCTCGTCTGTTGTTCATGAGTATAAAATGGACGAAGAATGTACCTGCCTTCATCGGCCTGCCACAACGTGACCAGACAATACTGCTGGAGGAGAGCTGGAAAGAACTGCTCGTCCTCAATATCTGCCAGTTTCAACTTCCGGCAGAGGCTCTTCTGGGTGCAGCTGGTGAGAATTTCTCTATATTGGTTTCCTTAAGTAAAGCTACTCTATGCAGAGTTTGTTTTTTTCGGTCATATTGATTTCGCGGATTTTACTGCAAAGGGAACAACGATATCAAACAAATGTAAGATTACACTACAGACATAACTATTCCGTAACAGTAAACTCCCCACTACTTGCTTTACATCTGCCTATATGTTCGCTAAGGCAACCTTGCATAAAATCAAATAGATATGTTAAACTCTTTTTACAATTCGAGGAGAAAACAAAATTCTGTCTTTAAATTTGCCTGGCATATAACAATAACCAGCCGACGTAATTCTTTTTTTTTTTTTTTTTTTTTTTTTTACTAAATTTTCAGTTGTAAGCGAGTAAATAGATAAATCACAGTCATTTGCAAAGTAGATGATATAAAGCCTACCAATATATCAATAGTTAAATGTAATATTTATAAAAAAAGTAATGTTACGTTGTACTATAGCTTGATGTTTTCTTTTTAGGGAGACATCCAGAGGCCGCAGGGGGGTCAGAACAGATTTCCTCTATTGTAACGGAAATCAGATCACTTCAGGAAACGATGACCAAATTCAAATTTCTCAATGTCGATCCCACGGAATATACGTGTCTCAAAGCCATAGTTCTCTTTAAGACAGGTGAGTCTGCTGATTTTAATATGATACTCAATGAACAGGTATTGGTTACGCACAAAATATATCAACATAATAAGTAGTGTTCATTTTTTAAATATAATTTTACTTAATCTTTCATATATTTCTGTAATTGTAGGAATACACAGGTCTCCAAATGACATCAAGACTCTTCGGGATTTCCACGCTGTTGCTACGCTGCAGGATCAGGCTCAACTCACACTGAACAAGTATATCGAAACCGCATATCCGTCACAGCCTTTCCGGTTCGGAAAGTTACTTTTACTACTTCCGTCTCTCAACGCCATTTCCGGAAAGACAATTGAGGAAATGTTTTTTAAGAAAACTATTGGCCATATCCCGATTGAAAAACTTATAATTGACATGTTTAAGTCAGGAGAAATTTAAATTTAAATTTAAACAGAACGCAGAGAAAAGAGACAATGTTCTGGTTTCAGAATTAAACCGTTGAGTGCAGTTTTAGACAGCACTAAAATAGCGCGCCCTGTTGTCTCGCCGTGTTAATGAGGTCATAGGTTAGTGATCTATATGTTCAATGTATGGGAAACGGAATACTTACAATTTAAGATTTTTAATGAGCGTTTAAAGATATTTTACCCTCTAGGATTGTCAAAGTAATATATATATATCAAAATGAACAATCCTGATATCAGGAGTATATGCTTTCCTCTTACAGTCACGTTTTATCATTAATTTAGACTTTAAATGATAACGGCATTTACTTACTGCATGTGAAACATGTTCATAATTCGCCTATTTTAATCGTTTGGGATCTTCTTGTTTTCTGTTTCATTACGCATTTTTACGCAATCGGTTAAACATTTTGTCTGTTTACTTTGTCGTTTTACATTGTTAATTTACATCTACAAAGTGGTTTGTATTAAAGGTCTACGTGCAATTCATTTGATGCACTAGTTACAAACGCATAAGTGCTATATACCCTTCACACACATACTTATTTTGTTTAATGTTTTATATTTTTATTCTGATGGGTTTTGTTACTAATGTTTTCCTCTAAAGAGGGTTATAGCACATGGAAACATGTATAAGATAGTTGCTGTTATCGTTGTTCTCTTTGATTTCGAAGAAATCTTTGCAATTTTTGTCGCTGAACACGTGCTGATTTGGAGAGTATTTCTAATAAGTGTGATTACTAGAAAAAGTCATTATAATGTTTGGATTTAAAGGCCATTTCTACTGTGTTCGCTCATCCAGCTTTGTGGTTCCAATGTTACACTCGTTAGGGATCATCTGTTGAACAAAGTTCTTTTCATTTATTTCTATGTTGCCGTGGTTACACTTTTCTAAAGATTACTGTAGAATTGGTACGGAAAAGTCCATGTCCAGAAATGAATAGCATAATTGTTTAATTCAAAACTCGTAGTTATGAGTAAAACTATATGTATTGTAAAATCAAATAGATGCTGTATGTCTGTTAATCTACGAGTATAAATGATCACGTTAATATGCAATCAGGAGATCTACATCCAAATTAAGTGCCAAATATGAAATGTAATTTCTAAAACATGTTAATCGTTTTGTGTATAACATAGACTGTGCGTCGCCATGAACACTTGTGTATAGCATAGAATGTGTGTCGCCGTGAACACTTGTGTATAATATAGAATGTGTGTCGCCGTGAACACTTGTGTATAACATAGAAGGTGTGTCGCCGTGAACACTTGTGTATAACATAGACTGTGTGGCGCCCTGAACACTTGTGTATAACATAGACTGTGTGTCGTCGTGAACACTTGTGTATAACATAGACTGTGTGTCGCCGTGAACACTTGTGTATAACATAGACTGTGTGTCGCTGTGAATACTTGTGTATAACATAGACTGTGTGTCGCCGTGAACACTTGTGTATAACATAGACTGTGTGTCGGATCATCAGTGTAATATCAAACAGGACAAACCATACCTATACTGAATGTATTACGTAATTATGTACCATTATTTATGATTATCAATAAAAAATTCTGCACGAGTGTTTGTATGTTTATTCAATAAAGATATCTTGGTCATATGATCTAATTATAATTCAATGTAATAACATCGTCCTTTATTGAAATAAAATATGTGTAGCAATTTCAACTGTGTCCTCAAAAGTAGCAATGTGAGTACGTCATATAGATAATGTGAACAAAAGAAATGTTTTCTTTATTTATCTGCTTAAATACTGAACAAAATTTTAGGATGAAGATAGATCATGTGATAAACAGAATACCTTACTCGATCGTCTTCAATCGAAATTAACATGAAGGGAATCCTAATGACATATTCTACATATACATTTACTTTTTATGGAACATCAATCTGCCGTGAAACCCGGGTGACAAGACCACCCGACAATGACAATACAGAGTACAAAAATGTGACAATGCCAAAGCGAACTACAATACATTTTTGACCTAGTAGGAACATTCGTCATTTCGGGTAATATACTAACGAGATTCTACTGTTCCTATTTTAAACTTTTAATATGTGTGGGTGTTCACAGAATGAGTTCTATTTGGATTATTCAGATATTTAAACCTCTTTTAGTCCAAAACCGGTTTTTTCATGTTTTGTCTGATGTCGAATGTTCGGAATCGAGGAATAGGCAGGTTTTGTCGTGTTTATTTTGGATATTATTATGTAAATTATAGACAGCACAGATCTGAACTGCATCTTGATGTATCACGAAACTAAGGCTTCTAAATACATTACTTACTTCTGAAAACATATTTATGCAGTGTCATATGTAAACTGACTGTCGATATTTCATCGAAGAAATACTTAATAGATGTTTAAACCTTGATTGTTATAATGTAAATACCAATACGGTTATATTACGTGAACCTCCACCAATATATTCAGCGTAAATAAGCTGAGACAGGATTAAAACTATATCTTGGGAGACATGATAAATTAGGAAGCCAATTTGTAATAAAGAAAACGTATACATGTATCATAGCATAACTCACAATGACAAAACTGGAACTTACAGTCGGTACAATATAAAGCAGAACAAACGGGCTCTGTATCATCAATGCACAAGAAGAGCAACAGGAACGGATGGAACATCAGTAACAGAGGTCACGACAGGTACAGAGGTGACACAACAGGAACAGAGGACAAGACATGAACTAATGGGACATCAGGAACAGATGACACAACAGCAACTGAGGGGACATCCGGAACAGATGACACAACAGGAACTGAGAGGACATTCGGAACAGATGACACAACAGGAACTGAGGGGACATTCGGAACAGATGACACAACAGCAACTGAAGGGACATCCGGAACAGATGACACAACAGGAACTGAGGGGACATTCGGAACAGATGACACAACAGGAACTGAGAGGACATTCGGAACAGATGACACAACAGGAACAGAGGGAACATCCAATTCAGATGACACAACAGGAACTGAGCGGATGTCAGGAACAGAAGATACAACACATGGAAAGAATGTATGGCCTCCCAATCAGCTTACCACGGCTTATTGCGGTAACATTCATCAATACGAAATCTGCTTAGTTGTGAAGAGTATATGGACTCCCTTTAAATCATAAATGAAACAATGTGCCCCGGAAAGGAAGCGTTTATTGCACTTTAACAGGAATGGACGAACAAACAGAAAGAGACCAGTGAATAATAGACATAAAAGCTGAACATTAACTCTCCAATATGTGCAATATCTTAGGATCCTTTGATTTATCATATATATTTGCTACTTTATACCACCTACCGGTAGCATGATAAATTCATTATCATTGGTTGTCAGTATGAGAAGAAGTTGAGAACGACTTGAGAACAACTTAAGAATAACTTGAGAACGGATTGTCCCATTCCCCAGCACATGGGAACGTATTTTCTCAAAGAAGAACATCAAAAGTGATCCGCGTAAGAAAATAGTCCGTCATAAACAGATAGATACAGAGTTACTAGAAATATTGTGAGAAAAACACCACCATTTCAGGTGTAAATGTGCATATGGAAAAGCCGATGACGATAGGATTGTTTTAAAAATATTTTTTCTATGTAATTTTAAGTTTCATTGTATACCTCCACAAAACTTCTATTTGTTAACGTTTGTCACAGGCGATCGTTACCATTGGGCTTAGAAGTCATTTGGAAAACATGGCGTTTAGTTGAGTTTTTTAAATGGAGAAATATATAAGGTAGTAGTTTATTGATGATAAATAGTTTATCATACAGTATTTTCAGTGTTTGTCAATCGAACAAAATTCTCATCGCTCGCACGTAGATAAAAATCTCGAGTCTACCTGCGGTCGCCTCTCGATTTTATCCACTTGTTTGCGATGAGAAAATTGTTCTCACGACAAACCCTGAAAATACAGTGTGATAATCTATAAATCTTTAATTTATTCATTCTGTTCACCTTCAAAAGTGCATGTTATTAAGGCATAGACTAGTCTCTGATGCTACATTTATATAGGAAACGGGTAATATATCATTTATAGATTCAATAATCTCTCGAAAACAAAATATTGATATGAGTTTTGCAATTTTGTAGTGACTGCAACCGTGAATGTAGCTTTATCATTATATAAAAAGGGTAACTATGATCTGGAATATATAGAACATATCTAACTTTCTCATTTTAACGACGTAGAAGTGGTTGAGTTTTACCATGATTTACATGGCGAGTGTAATCGAAGAAGCAGAAGACGCTTTTCCTTCCGGAACACCTTGATTTATCATCCTTATATTTTGTTTCGATGGCATCCATGTATGTTTTCCTTCGTTCACATTTCCCCCTAGTTTTATTAATTTTGAGCTCGAATCATGTTGGTTTTCATTGTTCTTTCCTTCTTTTGTTCTGTTGTTTCTTACTTTTTTCTGACACAACTATATTACATCGAATTTGAATGAAATCCCTTAAGCACATAAACGTAATATACACTATAAGACACAAGTATAAATATTACGATTCTTGTAATACTGCAAGGAATATAAACAATAGAAGGTTATAAATGGCAGTGAGGTAGGTGAAGTGGAAATCGATTAACTTGTAGATTTGATTTGAATTATATTAAATATTTAATTCTTTCAGAACAAACAAATAGCCATTCCACGTGCAGCTGACAATACTGTGCGTACGTTTTGTTTTTATTCCTGAATAGATAAAAAGAAATTAAACAGTGTGTATCAAAATTTATGGTCAATGTATATTAAATTTGGACTTAAATAACTTCGGATAAACCATGCTACAATTGTGTCTATATCCTGTCCTATGTGTGGGTATTCCGTATGATATACAAACACATCGTCTGTCAAACTACGGGTGGTTAAGACGTGCCTGCTGTTCTACTTACCTTCCAATAACTTACTGACTTACGAAAATACGAGATTTTGGCCTAGAGGCAAGAAATTTAACACTTTTACAAATTGCTTTATTTCATCTATTGACTGGAATACAACCCCGAGCTTTTAACCGGACACCTGGGGTGTTACATAACGTCTAGCGAGACTCTCTCAATCACGAGAGTCAGGGTTTCAAAGGCTCTCGGCGGGATGTTCTCCTCAAGTTAGCTTTTGAGCACAGTTATACGATACCATTTCAAACCAGCGGGATCACAGCAATGAATGCCAGCAATGATGGCGGTTATTCTTCTATTGCTTCCAAACGTTCTTGGTTATGAATTTGTCTTATCACTTCATACATCTATAATTATCCTAGATAGAGTTTCAATGTTCTGTTCAGGGTTTGATTGACAGCATATATCTCTATAACAGCTATTCACATCGTTATTTGTCGAGTGAAATTGAATTTCGTAAAAACTTATTAGCTGGTATATCTGAGCAGTGAGCACGCTTTTTCCATGGTCTTATATTACGTGTAGCTATATCAAACAAGTGTTATATTCTTATGTAACCCTGCTTGCAGTTGTACGTGTTCTGCATTAACTGTTGGGTATCTGCAACAAAGAAACAATAGAAAATGCCTTCTCTAAAATGAGATAAAATAAAAGTGTACTTTTCGCATTCACTGAAACAATGAGGACCGTACTGTGTGCTAGGTTACCACGTCCGACTGTATAACCTGTTGTATCAATATATATATAACATTGAAAACATTATTCTATAAAGTTAAGCGATGCTTATCCGCATTAGTTTTGCCGTTTACATTTCAACGATTTGTAAAATGTGGTTAAAGAACGAAAGTAGGACCATTATTAATTACGGGAAACAAATATATCGACCTTCCTCAAAGTACATATTAGCTTGTCTGCAAGCCAACATTAAAAAAAAACACATTCAAGATTTCTTGAAATAACAAAATGGTGACTCGGGATGACAACAGTTCGCTTTTCGTTATGCCTAGGTTAAGATCAGCAGAAATGCTAGGGGAAATACAACAAGTAATTTTGAAGCGTTGTTATGAATAGCTTAATGATTGAATAATTAAAAAGCTAACAAAACCAAATAATATAAACAAAATATATGCTACAGCGTCAACAATGCACTTTGTTGTTAGTAAGAAACCAGGGTTAAGATAATTTAATTAAAGACAATCACCATTCAATGTTATAGTTGATCACTTTTAAAATGGTTCAGCCCCGCATTTATCCAAACTGAAGGGTAACTGCCTATGATGGTGTAACATCTCTTGATCAACCTCCTGCGTTCAGCAGCATTATAGGTCTGTTGTATTTGACAAATTGTCACTGAAACCTCTACGGATAATACATGTTTTAAATCGACAGTATTGACATTGTGTCTGGACCATTAATTATTTTTACGATCCCATTACCATGCTGGTGTTTATTTGTTAACCTTATTTATCCAGGACCAGAACTTCGTGCCCCGGATTTCCAGATCCTCGTGGTTAGGAATCAACCAATCCTGATTAAGGTTTAGTTTCTTTGAAAGGTGGGCGTGCCGGAGATAATTCTATCAAAACAGACATTGCAGCATCTGTAGGTAGGGTGTACGTGTTATCTTAGCTGGAAACACGTGCTGCATCTTCCCTCGGGGCTTTACAGGTCTTATTTACTT